AAGAGCAAGAAAGGAAATTGCTCAACATCTTCGACCGAAAAATAAAACCAATAATGATATGTATATTATTCATGTATATGATAAGTAATGGCATTTACAAAGAGTAAGTAAATAAAATTATTTGTTTATCTTTACTTTTTTTCCTTTTTTTTTTCTTACTTTCATTTTTTTTATTGTTATTTATTTACAAATTATCGTTAATATTGTCGTAGCTAAGAAAAATTCTCTGATGACTGATCAAATTGGCAAATTAGTACAATATATTAAAGTTCAAAGAAAGAGATAATACAACGATATTATCTATAAAGATAACTTGATTCTGCCAGATGATGCTCCTGAATGGGCTATTTCGAACTTATATAGTTTGTATGAAAAGAGGAAAAAAGTGGGAATATTAATGAGTAAATTAATTGTCTTATTATAATGATTAGCATATTGGATTTCTCGAAAATGAGTAGTAATAATAATATGTAAAAATAAAATTGCTCAATAAATATTATATATATAATAAATAAATAAATAATTACTCAATATTTTATATGTAATATGTATACAAAATAAAATATTCTAATATCAGAACTCTTATTTTAAACAATCATATAATAATCATGAAGGTATTATTGAAGTATTATTGAACAATCATACAATAATCATGAAGGCATTATTGAAGTATCATTGAGATATCAGAGTATCTGATATATGTATTGATATTGTATGATATTTAATACTCGATATGTAACTTATATTTAACTTTTCCTGCCAAATATATAAGAAATATCAGGATTATCAATCATATAGTTATAAAGCTATGATTATAAACATATTGGGTGATCATCAAGTGACTGATATGTATTCGTTATGTCTTCTTTTGACCTGTATTAGTTAGTTATATATTTTTTAAATAAAAAATAATTTTGAATTTACTTACTTGTAGCCAGAGTTAGAGGTGATCGGATATTTATGACTGCTACTGTAATAATAATCTATGCTTTATTGATTTCTTAAAAGTGATCATACTTTTAATTTTCTTTTTTTTAATCAATACTATTACAAATAATAAACAACTTATCCTCAGATTATTATCATTCCTATTTGATGATATATTTTCTTTTGTTTACAATATCTAATTAAAAAGATGTAAATCATTACAATTTTAAAAACTTTCAAATAATATAAAAGATAATTTTACAGTTACTTAAGTCTCCTCTGATTTCTCTTATATACTAGAAATATCTCTCTCTAATTTGACTTCCTTTATAGTAGCTATTGCTTATAATATTTACTGATCAAATTTTTAGTACAGCAATAATCATGCCTTTCCTTTTGAACATTTGATATTTGTATTTTAGTTTAGTTTAGTTTTTTCTCTTTGCTAATAATAGTTTAGTTTAGTAAAGTGCAAGGTTGATATTGATAAAATAGTTTAGTTTACTAGATTAATTTATAGATATTTTTGTATTTTGTATTTTATTTTGATTTCTTTGTAAATTTATAAATATTAATAAAGATTATGCAAAACTGTCACATTTATAAAAAAAAATCAATTTTGCATATACATTTTTAAGTATAATAATAGTTTAAACTTTTCTCAGTATTTTATATTAAATTTTCTAAAATATATGTTTTAATTATATTCTATTTTTTTTTTTTTTTAAATTAACTATAAATTCTTTAAAAATTTTGGATGTATAATTCTTTTTTAAAATATCTTATAGATATTTAATTGGTTTAAGTCAAGTGGTTATACAAACTATAAAATATTTAAAATTGAATTATTATAGTTTTGATCTATTACTTAATTGCTTTGCCTAATGAACTAATGTATTATATATTAAAAATATATTTCAATACAATTTCTAACTCATTAATAAAAGGTAAATAATTATTTTTTAAATCTCAATAAATATAAAAACCTATAATTTATCAGAAACTTAAGTTAAAATTCAAGCTTATTTTTTACAAAATACTTTTATATCATTATGTCTTATTTTTCTGATTTTATTATAGAAATTAAACAATTTATATCATAATTTTCATAGAATAATACCAAATATAATAATAAGTATCATTTTAAAATAATAAAAAATAAATAGAATGACAAAAATATCTTATTTGCTATGATTATTTTTTCAGAGACTAATTATTTCATCTTATTTAAATTTAATAAGTTTTTAGATTTTTGGTATTAAAAAATATATTGATTTAAATATTAAAAGCTTATATCTATATGAGAAAAAATTAGTTTATTTTTATGCATTTCATTAAAAATATAATTAATAGAATTATACTAATTTGAATAATGATAATTATATAATACAATACATTTAACTAATAAGTGTATTATTTATGAAAATTTTGTGATTATAGATTATTATAAACTGATGTTAATATTTTTGAAGTTTATTATAGAAAATAATCAATGTTTTAATTTTAATAATGATCTATAATATACTTATGTAAATTTAATTATTGATCATATTTTATTAATTAAAACAAAAAAAGAATTAATTGCATTTAAAAATAGTGGTTGCTTTAAATTATTTAGATTTTACAAAGTTATTAATATAGTTCTAAGTGAAATTATTAAGAATAAATAACTTTTAAAAAAAATACAAGTTGCTAATCAGAAAAAATTAAAATATATTATATGATATATAATAAAATACTATAATTAATTTATTTATTATAATATTATATATATAATAATATTTATATTGTATTAAAAAAGTAATAATTTTAAATATATTTTATAATTTATGTTTAATTTAAATGTTATACAAATGCATTTTGTTTACTAAATATAAGTATTTATTAAATATAAGTTGTATTTAAATATAATTAATAAGTGTTTAACATAAATATCCCTTAAATATTAAATAAATACTTGACAAATATTTGATATAACTTCATGATAAATAACTACAATAATAAATAATTTATTTTATAGATTAAAAAAAAAGGAGAAATAATTTTATAAAAAGTAGTAATAATAGTAGTAAAAATATAATTTATGATAGTAATAATAATGATGAAAGTAAATAGTGAACAGGAAGACCTAGGATTAATAAGTATTTTTTTATATTTTATTTCTTTCATTAAGTTTTCACTTATTTCATTTTTATGTAAATATCTATATTTATAAAAATAAAGTATCTATTCATTTACATTTAGCTAATAATTTTTTAAATTAACTGTTCTTATATAAAAAAAATAATATAATATATTTTTTTTAATGTTCTAGTAATTAGTTGTCCAGAATACTAAAGCTGTGTCTCATATGTCTATTTGTTCGCTATACCCAATATCTAGCCCCTTCTTGTTATTTCTCACATCATTTTAAACTGTTAACACTACTAGCCTTTATGACAAGTTATGCATTTTGAGCATTGCATGGCTTTTTCTAAATGCTGTCAATACGAAGGATTTTGATCAATTACTGAAAAGAAAAGTCTTTACTAACTTAATTCAGAATAGCTGTTCAACATAGTTAGTATGCTCAGACTGTCAAAATCATCTTGAGAATTGAACTCAGGTCTCTCAAACCCTAATTGGTTTCATAAACGCTATAGTGTTTCAACTAGAAACCACCTGTAATCTATAACTCTTATTCAATTCAAGTTACACAATATCTACCATTGATCAGTTACAGCCTGTTATTAAAGATGATCCCTTGTAAACAATGCAGCACTTGTCCATTACAGGCCAACCCTTATATAAGTTCCAAACTCAATCAGTTCTATGTGTATGTGATACTTATGTAGTCACACAAGTTCACCATATTCTATAAGTTTGTAATCTTTAACACATTCTATAATATTTATTCTTAGAATTGAACTGGTAAATCTCATAATAAATTAATACTGTAATTTACACTTAGCTAATGCTAAACTAGGATCTATTACAGTGTAACTACAATAGAGACTCGCATCTTGCGGATTGAGCTAGAGCTACCAGACCCTTATAATATATTTAATATAATTGTTTTATTTTATAATAAATTATAAAATTTACTTAAAATGCTATAAATTAATAAATTAATATAAATACTAAATTGTTAATATATATTTCTAAAGAAATTATTAAGATTATTATAAATAAGTTTTTTTAATAAATTATTTTCTAAATCTAATATTTTTCATTCTAAATATGATTTGAAATATTATGTAAAAATTGATTGTTATAACTAATTAAATTGTAAAAATAAACAAATTAAAAAAACAAGATGATTTATTTATTATTAAATCTCATGAAATATTAGCAATAGATTATTTATATAAAAAGTATTCTATAAAAATTATTTTCTAAGAAAGAATATATCATATAGCAAATCCATTTTACTTACAAAATAAGTATAATTTTTATAATACTAAAATTTGGGTAGAAAAAAAAAATAGCAGTTAGAATTTTGATTAAATATTGTATTTAAATATATTAGAAAATTATTACAAGAAAATTATAAAATTATTATTCTTAGTATAGATTAAATTACTTTCAAATATTATCATAATTTTTTAAAAAAAAACTTATTATTAGGTACTTTGTTAGAATATAATATATTTAATTTATCATAAAATTTATAAAAATTATACAATTTGATAATTGTTTGATAAAATTGCTTTAAAAAAAATATCTTAATGCTAAAACTTACATTATATAATTTAAAATTATATATTACTTATTATTTTCTAAAAATCAATAAAATTTTACATACTTTAGACTTTATCCTTTAACTTATATAACTTACATTACAATTTTAAGTCATTTAACACTTTTTTTTAAAAAAAATGCTTGATTTTTCGATCACGTGATTGTTAGATATAGCTACACCAATTTTACCACCAAGTTTTTCACCCCACGTGAGTTTTGGCCGGCATTACGGCATTAAGGAATTAACCATGTGACCAAATATGAAAATGGAAAACGCGGAAGGTGCGACGCAGATGACAAATATTTCTATGATCACGTGGGGTGAAAAACTTGGTGGTAATACTGTGAACCATTTAAAAATTAACTAAGTTAACTGAACATATAAAAAATTAAGTTTCTTTGATGCCTGTTGTATCATATCATCAGAAACAAAATTTTCTTTATCAGCGTTATTTAATTTAATGTGACTTATACTTTGACATTCAATATTAGGATAAAGTTCAGTACGTCGCTTTTTCTCTGGCGAATCTAGAAACACCTCTACCTCTACCTCTACCTCTACTTCTTCCTCTACCACCGCTTCTTATCCATTCATGATCTTCCCATCCCAATACTGGAGAATCCATCCTAACGTTTCGTAAAAGGATGGATTTATGTGCATTGTTAGCTGTTTTAGCTGGAAGGTGATAGAATACACTAAAAGTATACAAGAATTATATTATGAATTTCTGATAAAAATCAAAGCGTGTTAATAAATCAATTATTGGTGAAACTACCTCAATGATCTATCAACAGTAATATCTGGCATATTTTTTTCAATTAAAGGTGAACGAAATGTACTTTCAGGTATAAATTTTGGATCTTTCGAGACAAATCCAATCAGTTTGTCACTAATAGTTGGATCCATTGGCATAGGCTATTATTTTACATTAAAATTTATATGTTTTAATATTAGAGTTAAAATAAAATTAGTTAAAATAATGGAAGTTTCATAATTTGAAAATTTAATTAATAAAACTCACCTTTACTGAGTCCTGTTTTGAGTATATAGAAGATAAGTTACTATATAATTGATGTTTGTTGCTAAAACAAAGGATATCAGATCCACGAGTATTTCTTGTAATCTCATCGGAATTTAATTGAGGATATACCGACTCTATGGCTTTAAGTAAACGCGATTCATCAATGAATGGAAGTAGAGCAACTCCTATGAAAGATTAAAAAGCGATATTGAATTATATAGAAGATAATGCATTGGAATTTAATAAAAATCTATATATCTTACCTTGCCATGCAAATTTTTTCCCGTTTAAATCAATTTTAAATTCTTTAGGATAAAAACAGATTATT